AGAAGTGTGCTTGGTGCGGGTCGTCGTACTCCATCTCAAGAAGGGGCTACAACGATGCTGCATGGGAGGGGCCATCCTGTTACAAATTGATAAATAAAGGGTTAGAGTATTCAAACTAACAATATTCAAATTAACATTATGTAGTGTTGCAAAATTTAAACTACTTGTTATGCAATACGAACACAATATAAAAATCACATGTATATATTCAAAGTAACATTAACAGACATATTAAACAACTTCACTAGGAAAATAAGCAACTTCTATGTATGGACCTACTGCCCTCGTCTTCTATGCCTGCTAGCCTTGTGACCAGGGTCTTTGCAAATGGAGCAAAGATTCCTGCCATGGGTCTCGTTGAAGTCTCCCCCTCCGTACATGTCTTCGCCGTACCCTCTCATAGCGTCCATGTCCCCCTTGAGTCACTTCTTCTTTCTCCTACCCTTCCCTACCTTCATTAGATTCGGATGTAGCACGTAGTCATAACCATTATAAGATGGCCACTGTGTCGGGTCAAGGTATGGCTCGAAGCTAATCTCCCAAATACTAACGGTGTTCGAACGGAGATACAAGGGTGACATATATGGTAGATCCTCATAGTTGTACCCGCGAACCCTGCAGGCCGTGATCATATGAGAGCAAGGGGCATGCATGATCTGAGGGACGTTGCAACTGCACTCTACCTTTTTAAGATCAACTCGGTAGTTTCGTCCATCATAACGTTCGCCGCCCAAGCTTGTGCCACCCTTGCCCTGTACACTAAAGATATGGCGGCGGGGTCCATATGGCTCGACGGTGTGCTGCTTGGCCAATTCCTCGGCCTCCTTCAAATGTTCTGCTCCGACCTTTCCAAAACGCCCCTACTTAGCTATATTCCTCTGCGCAAGTTCCCACCTCTTGATAAAATATTCGTTGCACTTATGAAAGGAGAACTCAACAATTTCAGACACAGGCAACGATCGAACTCCGGTGAATACGTGGTTGAAGGACTCTGAGGAGTTAGTGGTCATGATGCCATACCTAAAACCCCCCTCGTCCTATGCTAACGCTCACTGAGCCTTATGTTCCATCTGCACCTCTAACCAGGCCTTTCCCGCTTCATTTACCATCTTGTCTAGTTCTCTTTTCGTCTCCTTGAACTGGTGCTCCGTACATACACAACATAGAGCCTTTACCTTGTCACATACCTCATGTTTCCTCTGATACCAAAAAATTAGCGGCAAAGTGTCTCATGCACCATCTATGCACTAGAGGTAGGAACCCATCTATATGCTCAGCTGCAGCATTAAAAAGCCCTGGGTGACAGTCCGAGATCAAACATATAGTAAAGATGGGCCAAGCACTTGTACACGTAGAAGCCACATGAACAATGACCATGATTTATTGTTCTCTCCCTCTGTCAAAGCAAATGTCATGGGTACTATCTGGTCCTCAGGATCAATAGTAGCAGCCATCATCAAGCTGCCCCTATACTTTCCTGTCAAGAAAGTGCCATCAATAAATACGACTGGCCAATAAAACTGGAATGCATGTTCCATTTGCGTGAACGACCAGAACACACGATAGAGGACATGCCTCAATGGGCCCCGAAAACACATCCCTCCGGTGTCCACAAACCATTTCAAGCTAGGGTTGTAATTCATTGCATATAAGATACGGGGCACCCTGTTGTACGCTTCCTTCCAACTACCCCAACGAATCGCTAGGGCAATTTTCTTAGCACGCCAAGCCTTTTCGTACTTCACATCATACTTAACGAATCCAGATATGGACTGTTGTAAAGAAGACACCGAAATATTGTTATTGTCATCAATGAGCCCCAATATACAACGGGCAAGGTAACATGTAGTGAGCTGCTGATGATTTTTCTTCCCCCTATTTGTTAGGCATGTGTGGGGTTCGACAACTTTTACTTATCCTCCACTTGCCATCACTCTGTCTTTTTCGTGCATTTAACCTCCACATACAACCGTTTTTGCATATCATGTGGTACCTCAACTCCTGGTCCGAATGAGTGACGTTGTAGGGCCTATGGTGATACACAACATAGTCCTGAAGGAAGAGCTTCATCTCTGACATTGTATTGAATATTATCCCCTTCCTATGGGTTTCTTTCTTATGGTCATACAATAATTTACTACACATCTGAAGACCGGTGTCATAAACTATCATATCCGTCATGCTGACATCCCTATAGTTTGGAACGCCCTTGAAAGGTACGTTCATCGATCTTAGTTGCTCAAGCTCAGTCGCTATGTAAGGTGGTGGTGGAACATACTGCTGCGCTTCGCTAATTCTGCCCCATGAATCATAGGGGTATCATCTGCTGGCAAATCTGTGACTAGACTACCCTGAGTCTGAATAGCATACAAAACCTCAATTGGTACTAGTAATGGCATACTATGAATAGGTACTGGCATGGCATCAACCGGTGTGGGCATAGCATGTCTATCTCTCTGGTCACCATCTGAATCGTCTGAATCACTGCTAACTACATCACCGATCCTGTCATCCTCCTCCTACACCTCCTTTTCCAGTTCGAACTCGTTCACATCGAAATCATTGTTTATACAGCCTACTTGACTTGAATGAAACTGCTCCTGCGTCAACTGACCATCCAAATCCATGTTACCCTGAGTTGCTTCCCCTTCGACCCCCAATTCTTGCTCATTGCTTCCAACACCGTCAATGCACGGTCCGTCCTAGACACCCTGTATCCTGTACCCATTCTCCCCCACCACCTTAGCTATAGGCACATTGAAATCTTGGAGCACCCTAGTGTAGCGGGACCAGTGAGCAGGGTCGCGCAAGGGCATGAGGACATAGTGTGCCCTAGTCTTCCTAGTATCAAACCTTCCCTTCAGTGTGAAATCATTATCAAACTTTGCATTTAAACGGACACAAATGTCGTTGAAGCTAGGAGGTTCATCAAACCATTCTAATTCTTCTTCCATATCCTCAAACATACCATCTTCTCTCCTAACACTTCCTCCATAAAAACTCTAACACAACAATCCATCTACAAAAACATTTCAATAAACTTCATCAATTCATCGAAATCGTCGTATATAATGTCCATAGTAATATTAATACCTATTCTAACTATAACTATACTAACTAATCTAATATTATCATCTATACAAGGCTAACTACAACAACTAATGTATAACTAGACTCACTAATTGTTCTGACTAAACTAACTAACTTTACAATCTATACTAAGGCCCCGTTTGGTAGGGCTTCTCCACCAGCTTCAGGAGCCGTTTAGAGCCGTTTTTTGCCAAATGGGGTAAAGTGAAATAGCTTCACTGGTGAAGCCCCTAAAACATGTTCTCACAATGATTTTGGGTGGAATGGAGCCAAAAAAAAGTGGCTTCTCCCGGCTCCTCCTCCAGGCCCCTAAAAACATGCTCTCACAGGGAAGCCATTTTGCCAAACGGTTTACCAAAACCGCTTCAGCTCCACCGGTGGAACTGTTCGTGGAGCTGAAGCCAAAAAATGGCTTCACTGGTGAAGTGAAGCCCTGCAAAACGGGGCCTAACTTACTATATTGCCTATACTAATTAAACTAACTAACTTTACTAATTATACTAACTATATATTACTAATTATACTAACTTTAGTTATTTTACTAACTTACTATACTAACAATGTCGATTCAATCAACAAATACATTAGGGGTACCTCGTGGCGGCGGCGCTCGTCCTCATGGGCGGCGGCCAGCCGTCGTGTGCCGGAGTCTTGTGATGGTAATGGCGAGGAGGTCAATTGGGGGGCGCGCGTCTGGCCTTGTCTGGCGCTTGATGGCGATCGATGACGCGCGCCTGGCAGCAAGTGAGTGGTAACGGCGGCGGCGTGAGTGGCGAGATGGGCGCGGCGCGGCGGCAAGCGCGGCAAATGGCGGCGGCGGCGGCGGGCGGCGGCGCGCGGTATTATTTACTCTGCTCACACGCCACCGATCGTAGCGCGATCGCCACGCTCGATCGGTGGCGCGCAAACTCTCGCGTCATCACCGGTCAGCGCCCCGATCAACGCCATGTCATCCCTCTCGCCGCGCCACCATGCATAGCGCGGCACAGGTGTTTCGACGCGTCAGAAAAATAAGTGCGACCAAAAGTATTAGTTTAAAAAAAAATTAAACAATGTTAGATTTAAAATTAATTTAAAAAAGTGTTAAAAATAAAAAAAATCGGTCCCGACTCCCGTGCTAGTGCAGGAGCGTCAGAATAAAGTTGTGCTGCACGGCTCCCCTCCAGCCGGTAGAGCGCGGTGCCACACTCTCCTACTTGCTTCTTCTGACAAGCGCGACTACTACTGCTGCTGTACCGAGTCAGCAAAAGACAGTTTGAGGGGGCAAAATAAAAAGAAAGAAGAGAACATGTGGGGTAATTTCGAAAAGGTGTGCCCGTAGCATTATTGATTGGATGAATCCCAACTTGTGGTTCTCCGTTCCTCTACATTTTCATGGCCAGGGCCACCAAACGCCTCCGCAATTTTTGCACCCTCGAAGTTGCACCAACGATGCAGGCCCGTTCGTTTCTCTTATAATTCGTCTTCTTTTGACTTTTTTTTTTTGGAAAATAATTTTTCTCTCACCACAAATTAGTCGGAATAATATTTCGGCTTATTTTTTCAGCAAACGAATGGGGCTACAGTTGCACAAAACTTTCGCCCTCTTCGGCCGGTATATAAGTCGGCTGGTTTTGACTGATTTAATAGTATTCTGTGAAGGAGAATAAGCTGATATGAGAAGTAGTTCAAACCAACAGAGCATTTGCATATATATAGCCAGCCGCAATAATTCTGGCACGACAGCAGCGGAGACCCACCACGAACGCCGCGGGGGTTGCTCCACTGTGCGTGCACCTGCGACATGCCACCGCCGACATTCAAAGTCCCACAAAACGCGGCGAGCGATTCATCACATCGATCGCCGACGACCGCCACCACTGATCCAAACGAAGCGAAAGAATTCCGCGGTTCCGATCCGTCTCCATCGCCTAGCAGCCCGGCAGGCTCGGCCCCTCGGCCTTGGGCGGCGGCGCTGCAGCAGCGACAACGCCCGCGCCCACCGCCGCTGCGATCCTGGCCCCGTGCTCGGTGCGCCCGAGCCGGCCCACGCCAGCACCGGCGCCGCCGCCGCCCCGCGCCGCGGCGGCCGCGCTCCTCATACGTCCCTTGCCGAGGTGGTGCTCGCACAGCGAGTAGCCGACCAGCGTCGGCTGGCTGCACCGCCACCCACGCCCGTTCACGCGGCTGCACCGCGACCCCTCCAGCAGCACCGCCGGGCCGCGCCGCTTCTTGGCCCCGCCGGTGCCGTTGCCTGTGGCTTGCTGCTTCTTCCCCTCGTCCTGCTTGACGACCGCCGCGGTCACGGACGCCACCGCAGGCTGCTGCACGAAGCCATTGCTCGTCACCCGTTCCTCCGCCTTCACCACCACCGCCGGCTCGTACCTAGCACCGACGACACCGGTGCACGTCGCCCCGCCGTCCTTGTGCTCCGAGCCGCCATGGCCATTCGCCGCACTGAATCTGCAAGTGCAAACATACCATCCGGCCGTACAGTGATTTCAAAAACAAGCCGAAGAAGACGGACCATCCGGCAAGTGCAAACATTAGCTCTGCACGCTATGACCCCCATCTTCTCTGCTCGCAACAAAAGAGATAGCCTGTCCAAATATGTAGAAACAAAGTGCTAGATATCTGTGTGTTATATGTAGAATCAAGATCACGCGTGATGGTGGTGGCAAACTGGCAACGCAATCGCAATGTGCATCGATTGCGGACGTGTACCGAGCGAGCGAGCGAGGCCAAGCAAGATCACGCGTGAATGCAACCAAACCCGCTAGGCGGCTAGGCGCTAGGCTTCCCTGTGATCGACAAGGAGCACCCGCAAAGTGTGAAGCAACCAAAACCAAGCGAGGACGACGGCATGGGCAAGGGAACACTGGAATCATGCGCCGCGGATGGATCATGGTCATGGGAGGACGTGCCTACAGGAGTGTTTTGTCTGACACTGTGACTGCAGATCCATGGCGTCCTTCCCTCCCTCCCTCATGGGTCAAGCTGGCATTGCATCGCACACTATGAAACAGTACAACAGAGGAGGGGGATCAAAAGTAGGAGAACGGAGGCTACTACTAGCATGGTTTTCCTTTGTTTTTCTTTATTATATTAGGTACGTGATGCTCTACCTATTGCGCCGTCAAGAATGCAAAGTTGCTAGCACTCTCCACCACACTGTCGTCCTGCGGATTCTTTAGCAGTTGTTTAATCCGTACCTCATGCGGCCATCATCATCATCAGCTCCTCCACGCTGTGCACCACCCATGCTGCTCCTGCCGCAATCCACCACCACATTGTCGTCCTGCGGATTCGGGAAAGCAACGGATTCAGCTAGATCTAGTCACCTCCTCCACGGGTGCAAGAACCACCATGGCCAAAGAGTCGCATGCGCATACATACATACCTGCAGGGGCAATGCGAGGCGCCTGGCCACTCCAGATTTCTGCCCGAGAACAAGATCCGCACTATTCGCATGCAGCAGCTTCGCCTCGCGATCCTCATCCTCGCCGCCTGCAGCCAACAGCCACCCACCACGGTTCCTCGCGGCGGCATTCAGCGGGGTCTGCGGCGCGGTGGATGCGGCGGCCAGATCTGAGCCCGCCGCCGCCTGCAGGGAGGACGGCTGTGGCCTCCGCCTGATCCTCATGGATGGGGGAGGGTGGAGAGGGGGAGTGAGAGAGGGAGAGGGAGAGAGGGGCAGGCAATGGAGATATAGATTTGGGGAGGGTGCAAATTAAAGGGCGAGGGCTTTTGGTTCCGGCTTGCCTTTTATGCCTGCCTGCCTCCTCAGTCCTCAATCCTCATGCCTGCATGTATTTAATTTATGGGGATGATGCAGTAGTAAGTTGTCTATAGAATAGTGGTAGATGGTGCAGTTTTCGGCACTGGCCTGCCTGCTGTCTTGGCTTGGCTGGGCATGCACGCCACATGCGCGTGCCCAGCACCGGACTCCCTCGGATCGGCAACCGGACGGCGCAGATCGACCCGACGCTCCACGCTCCCTCGCCAGGCCTGCTGGCTGCTGATCCCTGCCCACTGGTGTAAGAAACTGGCATAACGGCGTGTGCCTCTGGAGGCCGGAGCTGCGGTGTTTCGTGTAGTATGTATGGGGATGTAAAACTACAGTCTACATTTTTTTACCTTTTTTTTCCTCATCAAATCTTCTCTGGCTTTTGGTTGGTTGGTTGATTTACATTACCTGGGCTGGGGTTTGCGAGGATGGAATGGAACGATCAGATCAGGGTGGGGCGGTGATTTTTAGTCAGATGGAGCAGCAGTGGCAACAACTGGGAGCGAACAGGGGAAGTAAAGCAAAGGTTGGGCGCTGTCAGGGGAGCATGTGTGGTCGACGCATCCAGCTTTTGGGCAGCATGGCGGGGGCAGGAGGAAGGAGCCAGTGACAATGAATCGTCTCTGCTGCGGGCACCGGACAGTTGGCGACCCATATATAGACGGCGCATCGTGGGCGTTTCCGTGCCAGTGCTAATGTTCGGCTCGACCATCGCAACTGGATCCATCCAGATTTTAGTCTACTCTACTACTGTATAGTGGCATGCATAGTGGCTAACAAACAGATCGAACGGGAGGAGGACACGGTCACACGGCAAAATTGCCGCTTTGCAAACAGGTGTATCTCCCAGTACGGCAGTACAGCGTGAAGATACCTACCTGCCTGACGAGGTAGGAAAGGAGGATATGGCATGGGCGAAAGGAACTGTGCGAAGGGCCTTCGTGGGCTGGATACGATGATTGCGCGGAGCCGCGGATGCAGGCTCTTCGGCCCATGGACTTTTGCACTGTCACAGCTTCACGGATGTGGGCTGTATGGAATACTAGCTCACAGGCAGTGATATGCAGATGAGGACGGTTTTTGTGCTGTCGCGGAGCAGAGAAGTCAGAGAAGTCTGATGCGATTTGTGAGGTTCAGCTCATGAGTCTGATGCTGAAGTATCACGTGCTACTTGGGGACGGCCAGGTATCAACAGTGCAGATATTTTGTTAGAATTTTGATTTCATTGGCATGCTACAGAAGGTATCAACAGTGCAGACCATCGAAACATCCAGGAAAAAAACAGCCTGCAGATCATCGAAGCATTCGGGAAAAACACCTTGCATTGCAGAACATCGAAGCATTCGGTAAGAGCAACTTGCAGAACATCGACAGGTTGATAAAGATTGCTGAGCCATCGGTATGTGCACAAGAACGAGGCCTAAGATGCTCACCACAAAACTATCCCGGAGCCTGAATACAGATAGCACAAGTTATCTGAGGAAAGCAGAGAGATCATGCCAAATACTGACATGGTGTCCCTAGTATGCGAAAAACAGTATACAAGTCGCATGATGCGGAAGGTAAGATAGATATTATTGTTAGGTTGATCTCTCCATCAACTTGGTCCAACGGCTAATTGGATCTTTGATCCGTGCCCCGTCGCACAGCGCCATAAAAAGAACGGTGGAGGCCGAGGTACAAGGCACGAGAATCACCTGAGCCGCCAGACGCCCCACCTACCCGTCTTTAAACTCCATGCCGATCCAGTGAGGGGGCATTGCCAGCGACGGAAAGACCGCCATCGGCCACCGCCGCCTCTGCACTGCCGCCACTACGTCCGCGACTTCACCGCTCGACCTCACCGCGTCACCGACAAGGACGTCATAGCAAGCTCGTCTTCTACGAAGGCGGCCGATGGTTTACACCTCCGTGACCCTCTCTCTCTCTCTCACTCTATCCGTAAATCCCATACTAGTTCATGTTCTAGGACTTCCTATTAATCTCAAATATCAGTATACATGCTATCTATGGCTAGATGATCCTGTCAAGTACATCAATGGTATTAATCGCCTAACTAGGTGTAGATCTAGTCTTTGGGATAGAAATCACGAAGAAAGAAGAAGAAGGGAAAGCGGAAGGGCTAGGGAGGTGGCTTACCTCGTCGGCCTCCACTCACCAAAGCACTCTGAGAAGGACTTCCACGCCTCTGCACCACAGCCGTGCTAGGGCGCCGCCGCTAGGCCGCTCGACGGCGGCGCGCTCACCCACAGACAATGTTTTCCTAAACGGTAAACGGACTTTACACGATCGCCCTTCGTTTAGCGTTTAGGCTGTTTACATGGTGTTTAAACGAAGTTAAACAGTCTAAACGGTTTTGTACTTTAAAAAAAATACATATAATTATATATGTGCATGAAAAAAATCAAGTATTCTAGCATTTATACATATTTATTCGAGTAAAAATCAATTAATTTGGTATGTATATATATTTATGCATGTGAAAAGAACCAAATATAGATATTTATGCATGTAACATATCAAGTGTACATATTTATAAATATAATAAACTTAAGTATACAAATTTATCCAAACAAAACTGAACTAGATTTACCTCGTGTTCGCCTAAACAGTCGTTTAAACAGCTGTTTAGCCCGTTTAATGCAGTTTATCTCCGTTCCGTTTAGACCGTTTTTCTCGTTTTTTGACCGTTTAAATGGTCAACCGTTTAATTTCCGTTTACCCCCTAAACAAAATAGTTTACCACCGTTTACCGTTTACTGGCCGTTTAATCCATTTAGGCAAACACTGCCCGCAGGGGAGTGCGCGCGCCGGCGAGGGGGCCGGCGACGGCGCCACCATCTCTCTGCCATCTCCGGTGGCTCTCTACACTCACTCGCCCGATGGCTGCCGCTGAGAGAGAATGGAAGAGAGAGGAGTGAGCTAGGGTTCGGGGGAGCATCACCGACGTCAGGTTTTTGATCCGGCGAGATCAACGCGCTGCTGTCGATCTCCATCCAATGGCTCAGAGCAATTGGACTGGATTGAGCCGAGGTGGGCACGCGCAGAGGGCCACTTTGTCGGCCTAGGCCCAGGTTGCGGCCTGGGTGTGGGGGAGCGGGCGCGCGCGCTGTGTTGGGCCACGAGCGCGGGCGCGCGGGTGGCATTTCGTCGCTGTGCCGAGCACCGTTTCAACGGGTTGGGCTAAATGAACAGTAGAAACTGAGTTATTGTTTTATTCATTTTCAGAAGCAATTTTTGATGATTTTTTTGTCTAGTTTCAATCTCTGTCAAAAATTGAACCAACGAGATAATTTTTCAGAGAGTAGATTAGTACAGTAAAATGTTTCTGAAAAGTAGATAAATAATTTTTTTATGTTTCCGCTATAATGTTAAAGTTTATTATCTTCTAATTAAATTCGAACCAAACGGGAGAATTTAATTTGAAGAGCAGTTGAATTTTATTCAGTAAATTATAATATTGTTATTTTTTCTGACCAACGTTAATATTAGAAATATTATAATGATTATTCATAAGTTTTTCTATGCATTAATTCTATTTCTGTCCAATGGTGATGTATAATTAGTGTATAAGAATGTTGTATGTTTTAATTTTGACCAACGTTAAATTAAAGCATGCAATTATGATGTCATATTTTCTCACTATTTCTAACGGTGTTTTCCATGACTCAACCAAATGGCTTTTATCTGGCACATAGCGCCTCTTAAGGGGGCAACTATAAGGTATGGCGAGAGAAATACGAACTAGCACTTGCGCTGTCTAAAAATAACCTAGCGCTTACCTCTCCGTGTCCGACTGAGCCAGTAGACCCGGTGAGGGAAGATAATAAGACTGATGTTGATTTCACTGCTCAGCAACGAGATTATGCAGAAGTGCAGATGAAATATGATCTCGAACGCAAGAAATGGAACATTTCAAACCACAAGTGCTTGATGGTGGCTAAGTCCACAATTTCAGATGCAATAAGAGGGTCTATCCCATATTGTGATACCGCCACAGAGTATCTTAAGAAAGTGGGGAGTCAATTAATTGGCTCTTCAAAGGCTTATGCTAGTACTTTGATGAAGAAATTGTTCAATGAGAAATACACTGATGGCGGTATCAGAGAGTACATACTGAAGATGAGCAACACGGCTTTGAAGCTGAAGCCAATGGATTTGGGGCTCAAGGATGAGTTCCTTATTCATTTGATTTTTGCTTCCTTGCCTAAGGAATATGAAACTTTTGTGGTAAATTATAACATGCAGCCTGATAAGTGGGATATAAAGAAGCTCATCATAATGTGTGTTCAAGAAGAGGAGAGGCTTAAAAGCTCACATGGTGACTCTGCTAACCTTGTGAAGGACAACAAAAGGAATAATTCAATAAAAATGTCAAACCTCAAGGGAAAGCCTCTCAGAATGACCACCATTAGAAGAACAACAATGCTCAAGTTGAGAAGGATCAGTGTAAATGGTGCAAGAAGCATGGACATTACTAGAGGGACTATCCAGACTTCCTGAAGAGTCTTCTGAAGAGAGGTGAGGATATCATTACATTCATAGATGAATCCTTGTTTTTAAGTTATGCAAAATCTACTTGGTGGATTGACTCAGGAGCAACTGTTCATGTTGCAAATTCATTATAGGGATTCCATACGAGGAGGACCTTGCAAAGAGGAGAAAGAAGAATTAAAGTTGCAAATAGAGTTGAAGCTGAAGTTGAGGACATTAGAGATCTCTCTCTAGAATTAGATGATGGTTTTAGACTTCAACTTTCAGATATTCTTTATGTACCCTCTTTGCGTAGAAACTTGATAAGTGTCTCACGACTTGACGATGATGGTTATGATTGCTATTTTGGTAATGGCAAATGT